GAAGCACTACCTAATAAATTCCCTGTAACCTACCTTACCCCCTATTGTCAACCCATGTCTGTTTTCTTAAACAACGCTGTTTGTCGACCTAATTGTATTTGTGCTGCGTTTTCAGCCATGTTCCCCCCTTTTTTATCTTTATTTTTATTTGTTCTCAACACATTTTATTCTTTATACTCTATTAGTATTAAGTTTTAGTCATTAATGTTTTTCCTGCCCGAAACGCTTTGCGTAATAGTGGCTTTAGGCATTGTATGTACTAGCTCCATCTATAAATCGATCAAATTATGTAAAATCTCTTGTATGTATGTATCTTACCTGAATAAACATTTTATTTTATTTATTTATTTTACTTAAAATTTTCTTAGATTAACCTGCCCGACCTGCCCGACTTTCATATAAACGCTGCGCTTACTATTTCGTGAGGCTTTCATTTCATTTTTTAACTGTTTTCTTATAATGTATCATTCACTATGTATATTACTATGGCTTTACAAGAATGTCCTCTACTATGTATCCTCACAATCCCAATGTACCTTCTTGTATATCTATATAAATAAAAATGGAAATGTTCGTTTGTTCAAAATCGCTAATCTCCGAAAGTTCTTCACCGATTGCTTTGAAATTTTCACACAATGTTCCATTCGCATCCGAGCAGGTTTTTATATTCATATTGATGTCACGTCTGTGATGGAAAAAAACATTTTTTTTTTAAACTGTGTTTTTCATGTATTTTTCATGTGAGAGAAATCTTCGAAACCTCTTTACCGATTGCTTTGAAATTTTGACACGACGTTGCATTCGAATAGGCGCGTGTTTCTATACACTTACTATATACATGCCTTACCTGTGACCGTAGAAAACATGCTTTTTTCAAAAACATCGCCATCTGTTGGATGTAAGAGCAACACACGCTGTAATCTCCCAAAGTTCTTCACCGATTGCTTTGAAATTCTGATGCAACGTTCCATTCGAATATGAGCGTCTTTTTATATACTGTACCTCCTATATTGATGCCACCTCTGTGACAGGTAAAAACATACATTTTTAAAAACAGTGCCATCTGTTACACATAATAGCAACATGCACGCTATACCAAATATGTCACGAATTCCATTTAAAAGTTTCCAATTACATTAATAAATTTTATTTTCATAGATTTTGATTTATTTAATTATTTATTTATTTATTTTGTGTGACTGTGTTGGAATTGAGCTGTGTTGTTCACCATGCCGTTCATTTTGTAAGTATAAGTATAGATGCCACACCTGTGACAGGTAAAACTAAGCTTTTTCTTGAAAAACAGCGCCATCTGTTTCATGTAAGATCAACACACATGCTATACTAGATATGTTACAATTCCATTTCAATGTTTCTGATTGCATTGATAAATTGACTTTTCATAGATTTTGATTTATTTTCATTTTGATTTAATTATTTTGTGTGAATTGCGTTGGAATTGAGCTGTGCTGTTTACCATACCCTTCATTTCGTGAGTATAGTTTATTTTTTTACTTTTTCATATTTTCATTTCATTTTTTAACTGTTTTTCTTATATTTCAGTGATGGGAACATCATATCACTTGATGTTCCCAATTTTCTGATGGGAACATCAGACCATTTGGGAAGGACAAAGTGGGGACATTGCGTTGGCGAGGGAGTGGCGAATGGTGGGGATGACGAGGGCACAGAAGCGAGAAAACGTGGGGAGGACGAGGGGACAAGGGAGGGGTTAATGGTGGAGAAGGACGAGGGGACGGGGGAGTTTGGGATGGTGGGGAGGCCGCGGAGACGGGTGAGGGGGGAATTGTGGGGGTGGGGACTGGGGGACAGGGAAGCTTCCAGGGGACAGGAATATATTCAGGAGTATGACTCCCATACTCCCACACGTGAGGGAGTATGGGTTCGAGTCACTTCTCGAACCCTCACGTGTGCCCCAAAGAATGAGGTGATTTGATAAAATGCTATGCCCAAGATTACCATCCGAGTGCCGGCGGGGAAGTGGTTCAAATAGCTTCGGCTATCACTTCCTTATGTCCGGTCGTGATAGTCAAGTGGATTAAGGCGTCCTGTAGATACCAGTTACGTTGCTCCTGGCAGTATGGGTTCAAGTCACTTCTGGGAAGTGACTCGAACCACTCCAGGGAACAATACTCTAGCTCTTGTGCTAACACCAGAAGAGGACATGATCGATCAAATACAGGTAGGGGAGATCACAATATTATAAGATGGACTACAGTTATATAAATCCTAGTGAAGGTCCTGGGTATTGACGTTCTAGACTACCCTCGAGGAGACTATCACGGAATGAGAGAGAAATTACAGGAACTCTACAAGTGCCCGGAAGATTGGCAAATGCTTTTCAATATAACAAAAAATGTAAGTCCTTGCAAGTGGGGCATAACAATACACGTCATAACTATCAAATCAACAACATTACCTTGCAGCTGATTGATGAAGAAAACGACCTTGGAGCCAGAATCAATCACTGAAAATTGCACAAGTGAGAGCTGCAGTAAGAAAAGCAAAACGAATCCTAGTAAAAATCAAAATAAACTCTGACAAGGAAAAGAAGGTAGTTATACAACTGTACAAATCTCTGGTGTGGCCGCAATCCGATTATTATATCCAAACATGGAGACCTCATCTTCAGCAAGACATAGATGATTTGGGAAAGTTGAGCAACAGGCAAAAGAATCATCCCAGAACTAAGTCAACTCATATTAGGAATGGTTGAGAGCCACAGGGCTAAGAACACCTGCAAACTATAATAATAATAATAATAATAATAATAATAATAATAATAATAATAATAATACTTTATTTGCAGGAAGGTACAATGGGTTCGTGAGATGACATAAGATATGTATTTTTACATTCACGCAAAGCCACTAACACGCATAGCGTTTCGGGCTGGTCCTTAATCTAACATATCAGTTAAGATGAAAAGGTACATTGTAGCAAGATTTTATATCAACAAATAACTACAATATAAGTTGATAGAGGTGATTACATTGGTAAGGATAAATGTCTTAAGTACTAAGATTGAGGGAAGTGGGTAGCACAAGATACAGTGTGAGTTTGAAGCACAAGGTAGGAAACTATGAGGATGAAATCAGGTACTTTTTTATTTTACTTTTGAACAGGGCATGGGTTGGACAATTTTTTAATTCATCAGGGAGTGAGTTCCAAAGACTGGGCCCTTTTATTTGCATGGAGTGTTTGCACATTTAGTCTGACTCTGGGGATATCGAAGATATATTTATTTCTGGTCCGGTGCTCATAAGTTCTATTACACCTATCAAGGAAAAGTTTAAATTTCAGATCAAGATTTGCATTTATGAACAAGGTTTTGTACATGTAGATAGCATATGAGAATGTGTGGAGTGAGTGTATGATTAGCATGTAAATTTTGTAACTAGCTCATCAAGATTGTAACTTGCTTAGCTAAATGAATTGTGGGGGTTCAGTGCCTGAGCCCATCATGTGCCTCTGTAACCCTTTCCACTACCGCCCACAAGATGG